ATCCCCTCATTGTGTCAGGGACCCGAAACATTGCAAATCGCGGACCCCGACCTTGTTTCTGCTTGGGAAATATGTCCCAAGGGCTTAGACGGATATGGAGCCGACTGTTCGGTATTCGTGGTCTGTGACCAACTTAGTCTCCATATTTATTGTTTCATGAGTTCTTAAAAGATTGCAAGAAAATCTCTGACTGATAGTCCTGATCACGACCCTACGATCCGCAATTCTTTATGTGATGTACAGTCAGTCCTTCGTGCCCCTATGCCCTTGAACCGAGCCTTCGCTTGTCAATTCCGGCGGGCCGCCCGGACCCCCCTTCGGGCCTCATCAAGCACTTCCCCTGGTCGGCTCGGGGCCCCTGCGAGTACAGGGCCATGTGCTAGATGCTGTGGTTCCCTAACAGATACAAGGCCCCCGGCCAGTATAAATCACTGGCGCCGGCTTTATACGTGATTGGTCCTCACGCCCATACCGACACGGAATCGACTTTGTGGTACTGTGGTACCTGACCGACATATTGGGACACGTCGACTCAGGGGTCCCGATCGGTGCGAAGGGCCCTCTGATCGTGATTTGAGGGTCAGTCTTCGCAGGTCGGGGTTCCTGAATAAGAGTCCGACCAGCCCTTTTGCCCTTAGACCCTCCAATCGGGTCCTTGATCGTCGGACCGCGAGGCCCTTCTAGGCTCTTCGGGCCTCCCCGAACAGTGTCTCCGGCCAACTCGGGGCCCCTTGACAGCACAGGGCCCCTGTTAGGCACTGTGGGGCCCCGATTAATGTAAATCGCCAGCTTTGTCCCTGCTTGGGACAGGGGCTCTTAGGCCCATGCCGCCACAGAGCCAGCAGTGCGTTACTGGTTGCGTTTGACCGAAAAATAGGCCCGTATCGACTCAGCGGGTCCCTGATCAGTGCGTGGGGCCCCCTGGCTGGCGTTGGAGTGCCCGGCCTTGCGGGCCGGGGCCACTGAATGAGACCTCTGGCTGGCTTTTCGTGCCCTTTGGGCCCTCGAATCGGGCCCTTGATTGTAGGTTCCGAGTTGCCCTTCGGGCCCCTCGGAATCTGAGGGGGCACGAGCCCCCGGTGCCCCCCCCCCCGCCCCTGCCTGCGCTAATTTATGTACTCCTCCAGGGGAGTGAACGCTCTCCGCAAACGTTCGTCTCCAAGGTGTTCATTAAACCGGTCGCGAATGCCACGCTTTGTTTCTCCTGCATACAATGTTATTGGACAGAGCCTAACAAGATACATGATATGCTATGCGCTTTCATGTGCATTTTCCTTTCTGTTTACTTACATATGTATGACCAATCCTCCCAGCAAGACATGTAGTGCGCTATTTGCACTACCATGGACGACTTTCAACGAGAACCACAGGTCCATACAACCCTGGCAAGGCCATGCAGACCACTCGATAACACGGTTGTATCGACCTGCTTGAACAGCTCGTCTATAAAATATAGTTTTAAATACGCATGATTTGTTTGCCTTGCTTGTTGCAACTTTTTCGTAAACATGATGCAGCGTTAGATCGAGAATGCATGGCACAAGCCACAGACCTCACTCGACGTTCGCGGCATCCATTCTCACGGAAAAAGGACAAATTTTAGTTGGGCTACACTCACAGATTGGGATCAAAAGATACACGTATCGCTCGCCGGACTTGTGATAACCGCATGTTGAGTAGCCGTGGAATGTGGCGTATCATAATGCAATATGACGGGAGCAGCCTTGGGGTTCGGTCCAAAATGCGGCACCTTGTCTGGGAGCTCTGGAGTGTAGGCGTCCAAAAGTATTGCACTGGAGTCGGGAAATATCAAAACTTAAATCCTTATCTTTTCGAATTGTTTTGCCTATCTGTTACTTGTTCACGCTATGGACGCCCATTACCTACGTCGATCTTGGCCTTCAATGGCGCCAACAGCGTGCGCGCGCTGTGTGGTTGCCCCAAGTAATCCGGCAGGCTCCTTTTGTACCTGGATACCCACAATGCTTAGGTGTATGATACTCAGACCCCGAGTGAGGTTTGGCGCTTGTGCCGCACTTCCTCAATTAAGGTGTCATACTTCTCAACTATTCTTCGCTAGAACAGGTTTGCAAAGAAGCTGTAGTAAGAGAAAGCAAACTAATAAAGCGTATATGCACCTCTCTTCTTTAGATTATGAGGTGTTCAAACAGGTCAATGCCTATTTACCATCCTGTGGTCTGCACGACCTTAAGGTGGCCTGGACCAGTGGTCCCAGTTTGAGTTAAAGTCCATGCTGATGCGATCAGCACTAGAGACCACAACGTGTGCGGTCGTGAGCAAGATTTGTCATGCATATGTTTGTAGACTGAAAGGAAAATGCATGCAGAAGGCAGTAAGACATGCAGAAGGCTTGTAACTCTGCCCAGGGATATTTATGTAGGACAAACAGAGCGTAGCAGGGAGACGCACGTTTGTGGAGTGTTCACGCCACTGGAGGAATGTATGATAGAGCGGCACGCATCATTTGAGCAGAGCACATGAGCCAACTTAAAAATGTAAATTTTAGCAACACCTTAAGACAACACGTACTTGAATTTCTTAGAATAGCTGCACAGTAATAATTTTGGTACGAAGATGCGCATCAACGCCATCGTGGGACAAAGTTTCAGCAGAATTGTTTGGGTTATGCACGTTTAGAAATTGCTCTGTATTCGTTGTGATGAAGATCGACGCCCGATCGTGGCCTTTCCATGCTGGCGCTCGGTACGGGTCATCAAAATCTTTAAGCTCAGCCACGTGTGTTTCGAGGAGCCCTTGGCAATACTGTGTATTAGGGGCGCTGGCTGTGAGAGCTTGAATTCCCGGGATGCATGAAGTTCTGCCCATTTTCGTGGTGCCTGAAGGTCCCAGGGAGTAAATTTTAATCTAATATCCAGTGTGAGTCATCGTAACCTTCCTGCTTAGCTGCATCTCCATTTTGTGCATCCCTTGTGCATAACCGTACTTCGGGGATCGGAATGTGGGAGCTCAGGTGACATCTTTTATTTACTTTATTTATTTTTAGGTTATTTTTTTCAGTTGCACTGTCTGCACAGGTCTGGGACATTTTCGGGATCCACATGTATTTGTCTTTAAGCGTCATGTTTTGCTTAACCTCGCCCAGACTTCCCTCTCATAATCATGAGTACAGCTTGAAACATTGACTGTTACCAGCATGGCGCCGTCTTCACCGCCTCTGATAGACAGTTCCGTCTTCACCGCCTCTGACAGTTCCCGCCAGCGGGTGACGCAACAGCTCACACAGAATGGTGCACTGCTGTTCACTTGCAGCGAGGCCTGGCGCACGACTCCCCGCTCGCCCTCGGGTCACAGTCCGGGTCAAGTCGCACAGATGGCAACGCTTATAAAAAAATCTAGCAAAAGACCCAGCAAAATAACTAACTCTTGCTATGCAACTTCATTACAATGGTGAAAAAATAATCGCTCCAGTCGACTCTAGCTAAAAAGGTGATATGTTATTCTACTTACAAGGCTTAGTTTACGTTCACGGGCGATTGTCACTGGTGCTCACACTTACCTTGAACCAAACAGGCGAAGCCAGTATCGACGAGAACACGATGGGGAAGCAGCTGCCGCCTAGTTTCGGAAGAGCTCCGACCGTGTAGAATGACTTCACGCATACTGACCGACGATTGGCGTCTTGGTGTCATCCCAGCAGCGATGCTCACTGCTGTGCCCGTCACCTAACTCGAATCTCCATGAGAGCACTGGCCGCTTCCCGCGTCGCCGACACATATCTCATATAAGGCGCCAAGTGGTCCTCATGTTGTCGGAAAATAGATTTACTGGCAATCTAGCTGTGGATGGGCACTCGCTGGCGAGATCAAACAGTGAACCAGCGAGTTTGATATGATTAATTTTCAGTCGTAGAGGCACAAGCCTGTTCATGGTCAGATGAAGTCAGTGGGCGGGGCGGACCGTGCCGAGCATGGGGGCATGTTAAACTTTCGCTGCCGAATTCAGCCGTGGTCGCTACCGAATTCAGCCGTGGAACTGGAGTTTCACGATCGGATTAGGGGAGGGGGGGGGGGGGAGGTGGATCTCGAACGCAAATCATCGCTTAACGTGAGCGCTGATCCCAGAAATCCCTCCAACCAAAATGTTCGGCCTTTTTTAATGATCCCGCCCGGTGACCAACACTTCTGAGTGTGTCGCTAAGAGCCCGCGATTTTCATTTTCGAAGGAAACTAAATCAAAACAAATTCATCCACCTAAAACGATATGCCCCGCATATCTGTCACCGATGGGAAACGATCCCGCCCACTCTGGCTTTCATCCTTGGTTTTTGCCGATTTGTCAATGACACTGCCTTGGGGCAGCGCCAGCACGCCGAGGCGCTTCCGCCATTTTATTCGCTGAGCGACAAGTGTCACGCATATGCCTGGCAGCACGCCGCGGATTAGGGTGTCACCTGAATCTTGTGCTACGCAAATAGCACAGGCTGACTGATGCGTTACAGAGATGCACAAGCGCGCTTGTGGTTCGTGTCGCACATTTCGTCCGACATTGCATTTGTGATAATTCCAATTGTCGTTCGTTCGCTGGTAGCAGCCGACCTGCTTGCAAAAAGCTTGGTATATACGCACACACACACACACACACATATATATATATATATATATATATATATATATATATATATATATATATCATGTATGTATGTATGCGAAGGAAGCGGCATGATTATACCATTGAAGCGTTTAGGAATCAATATATAGTTATGGAGTAAACCATGTGAGCAAAACTAATTAAAATCCAACATCAGACGACCTTCCCATTAAACCAAACCGCCGCGAGTTGAGCAACAGGTGTCGGCCAGCTCTTCTTTTGTCCATCCATTCGCTTTTCCTTGCTCGCTTGCTCGTTCACACAGAGCACGTTGTCCTGGTCGCTATCCGGATCGGACCGCCACACGCTTTGACGATCGCCTAAATCTGTCCTCGCTGCTGCCTCCTTGCAGGAGAACTTCCAAAGCCGGGTCAACTCTTCGGTATATATAATCCCACACATGTACACAATGGCCCCGACGGAGCCAATCACATTGTATCCTCCACATGCAGCTACTGATCATAGTTGCATCATCATCATCATCATCATCATCATCATCATAAAAGTGGCGGCGTATAAATAGACTAGCACTATCTCTGGGGATGACGAGGTAATATTTACGCGCGCGTGCGCTTCACAGAGACTGGCCTTGGCCAGCGGTTAGGGGACGCGTTAGACGAGACGAACACAGGACTGCTAGACGAGCAGTAACGTACGGCCTACAGCAGCCGCGCGCGCACGGACGGCTAAAGCTTGGCTGTTGGACCTCCGCCCTGGACAGGGTCGCGGTCTTCCGACCCGCCAGCCACAGCCACGGGACGAGGGTACGTGGCTCCAGGCATGTGATTTTGTTCAGGGCGGCTGTATGCGCAGCTTAGAACGAACAGTGGAAGGAAAATGAAACATAGGAGGGCGGAGACAGGTATGATCATAACGTGGCGTGAACGTATCTCTCCACGGGTATACACGAGACTGTCGCTCAAGCCTATGCGATGATGCGATGACAAGCAATTTTGTCCGTCGATTACCCTGGCCAATTACGCAAAAGCCGCCACAACTTCATCCCTTGACTGCTGTTGGATAGGACAAGTTCAGCCCTCAGCTGACCCATGCAAGAGCGGGGCCAAACCGTCCAGGGGTAGCAGCCAACTTAACACTTATAGAACGGACAAGGGGTGAAACTAAACTCAAAACGACAGCGACGCCCACAACAAATCCAAGACTAACGTCTACGAGACCCTCGGTCCGGGACGGCCGGAAGAAACGGCCGGAGATGACGGGGGGGGGGGGGGGGGGGGGCTATATCAGAGGGCATGGCTTACATGGCGTCCATGCAACGAAAGTTGGCGGTCGTTTGAATTAAATTTGCATTCTCGAAGGTCGCGAACACGAACAGGCCAACTCGAAAGGTGTCGCGGCTTTACAATAAAAAGAACGATATTCCTCGGCCACTTTGCCATCCGAAAAACTGCCCAAGAACCGGAGGCCTAAGCTAAGTTTGATGGTAAATGTATGACGCGACAGCCACCGGACAAAGCGGCCGCTGCTACCATTCGAAAAAAGTGTTTCGCGTATTCAGGACACGATTAGTGGTTTTCGGAGAAAAAAACTTTCGAGGATCAGGGAAGGAGAGCAAGGACGTTCGTGCATCTATTTTTAGCAAGCCCCGACAAAGCGACACGAAAGGCTGACAGGTAACGCGAGCTCGGCTCTGGTCAGAAAAACCCGCCCCCGCATGCTCGTCACCTCTCTCAGCCGTCCCGGCGACAAAAAGCAAACACGCTGAATGGCCGACCAAGACAAAACTCAATAAACATGACTACGTAATGTACAGACACGGCAACGAAACAACGCGCGACGTCACAGACGCGATCAGCGAAGGTGTGGCCAGAGCCAGTCAGGGCGGTGCCGCGTATCCGGGCGCGGGTCCGTGTGGACGGTCACTGGCTTCTGCTCTCCTGCCCGGAGACATCGACAGGCGGGCACGGGACACGGACGGCGGGCATTCGAGGTCACACAAGGTCACACACGCCACCTAGCCAATCTAGGGAAGAAGAGAGGAACGGTGTTAATGACACATGAGACGGAGCTGAACCAAAGGGCGGTCGCTGAGCACCAAGCCGTGGCAACAGTTAATGACGGTGAAACGAAAACGCCGACCCAGGTTAAGTGCAGTGACTGCGGCTAAGACGGATAACAATAGGCGAGCAAGCAAACAATGACACCGTTTCCCATTGAGTGACGTTGACGACAAACACATAAAGCAAACTGAGCCCTTCAAGGCCAAACCAAAGAACAAAACGTACGTCTACGACAGGGTCAGGGAAGTTGTCAATGCTTTTATACAGGGGACTGAATCTTGGGTTAATGCACAAATGCGTCCTAAAAACGGCTCCTGATTAAACAGAGGCGTGACAACAATGGCTTCGACCAGTCTTTCGAACGAGCGGGCCGGGTTATTTGAAAGTCCGCGGCTTTCTTTCAAACCAAATGTTTTTGTAATGAAATTTTTGGCACAAACACGGAGTGCAAACTTTCACCGGACAAAATACAGCATTCCACTTGACCACTGTATTGTTGTGAAAAGCGATACACAGTACAAATGACGTTATCTATGAACACTATGAACACGCACTGGCATACAACAGCACAAGACCCTCAGGCCAAGATCATTGCACCATTTCCATCATGCTCTGTGTGTATTTGGCATGAACATTTACTGCGCTCTCATTTGTCCTTACCAACTCAAACAGTACGCATCTAATCGTGAAATGAAACAGCTGCTCAGACTCGGTTTTTGTACCAATACGTCAGCCGCCGGGCTAGCGCCTAGCGTCAGATACCGTCAGATCTGCAGACCCGTCCACGCGACTCTACAGAGACACTCCCACTGTGGTACAGACTGCGTGCGCGTCCAGGACCCGCCGGCCCTGCCAGCTGGCGCCGAGGCCGGACCACAGAGGGGCGTCCGTCTCTGGCTGCCGCGGGCGGGACGGAGCGGAGCGCCCCGGCCCCGGCCCCTGAGGCGGTCGGCCGTGCCTGGAGCGCGGAGAGCGTGCGCCGGCACCCGCCCGGTGCACAGGCGCAGTATCACAGTGGTGCCGCGGGCGTCACTTACTTGAACTACGCCGCGGGCGGCCGGCTAGTACGGCTTGGCGGCGTCTTTGGAGCGCTTCAGCTGCACCTTGAGCCGCTTGGTGCCGATCTGGAAGCCGTTCATGGCCTGGATGGCGGCCTGCGAGCTGCTCGGGTTGTCGTACGACACGAACCCTGCAACGGCGCGACGCGTGACGAGGACATGCCGCGAGGGACAAGTGGAGGGACCCCATCATAGCCCAGCAGGGACACGTGGCGGAGCTCTGTTGTAACCCAGTATGGACACACGACGGGACCCGTCGTGCCTCAGCAGAGAAACGTGACTGGAACCTGTCGTACGCCGGCAGGGACAAGTGACCGGGACCTGTCGTACGCCAGAAGGGACAAGTGACCGGTACATGTCGTGCACCAGCAGGGACAAGTGACCGGGACCTGTCGTGAGCCAGCAGGGACAAGTGACCGGGACCTGTCGTACGCCAGCAGGGACAAGTGATCGGGACCTGTCGTACGCCAGCAGGGACAAGTGACCGGGACCTGTCGTACCCCAACAGGGACACACTTCGGGGGATCTATCGTGCCCACGCAGGGACACGCGCTGGGATCTGTCGTGCCCCAGCACGTGTAAGGGCTTCTCAGACGGTAGCTAGAATACCCGCTCAGTCCACATCGTCCGGGCCGCTTCAAAACGTCACTGATGCGAAACCGATTGCGTGAAGGTACCAGCGTAACAGTGCAACTTGGCCAGACATTCATACCAAAATCACAAACACACACACACACACACACAAACATCAACATGTCATCTCTTGTAAATGAAGCACGCCACTACATGCTGTGAGCCTTGCCATTGCAGATCATTGCCATTGCAGATCAGTCGGCCGTCTCAAAAGTTCAGTGAAGAAGTGTCGGTGAGGTCACTCGCTGAGGGCGTGACGTCACGCACGGCAGGCGACCCGCTCACCGGAACGCTTGGAGAAGTTGGTCTGCTCACCGGAACGCTTAGAGAGGTTGATCTGCTCAACGGAACACTTGGAGGCGTACCGCCCACCGCAACATTCGGAGAGTTGATCTGCTCACCGGAACACTTAAAGAGGTTGGTCTGCTCACCAAAACACTTGGAGAGGTTGGTCTGCTTGTCGATGAAGACCTTGGCGGAGATGACGTTGCCGAAGGGCAGGAAGGTTTGCGCCAGGTCGGAGTCGGTGAACTCCTGTGGCAGGTGGTAGATGAAGAGGTTGCAGCCATCCGGGCCCTCCATCTGACGTCCTGCCGGGTTGCTGGCCGCCGCCAGCGCCGGCTGCGTGTAGGCCGGGTACCCTGGCCAGACCAACAGCTAGGCTTAGACGAAAGTGCCACACAGCTGGTGATCTGTTACCTCAACACCCGACGCTCGAAGCTGTCCGCAGAGAGAAGTACAATGACGAACAGATACGATTCTTGCGACGCCTGGAACATGATAACGAAAGCTGACACAAGGATACGTTTAATCTTTAACTATGGCCTTTCTGGTAGTTTTCCGGGGGAGAGAGGTGAGGCCATAGAAATTCGTTAGAACGAACACGAACCACAACATAGCATTCATGCAGCACAATCACACATTGATACCATACAAGTGGAGCACAAGAGAGAGAGAGAGAGAGAGAGAGGAGGAGGAGAGGAGAGAGAGAGGAGAGAGAGAGAGAGAGAGAGAGAGAGAGAGAGAGAGAGAGAGAGAGAGAGAGAGAGAGAGAGAGAGAGAGAGAGAGAGAGAGAGAGGAGAGAGAGAGAGAGAGAGAGAGGAGGAGAGAGAGAGAGAGAGAGAGAGAGGAGGAGAGAGAGAGAGGAGAGAGAGAGAGAGAGAGAGAGAGAGAGGAAGAGAGAGGAGAGAGGGAGAGAGAGAGAGGAGAGAGAGAGAGAGGAGAGAGAGAGGAGAGAGAGAGGAGAGAAGAGAGAGAGAGAGCGGAGGAGAGAAGAGAGGAGAGAGAGAGAGGAGAGAGAGAGGAGAGAGAGAGAGAGAGAGATGGAGAGGAGGAGAGAGAGGAGAGAGAGAGAGAGAGAGAGGAGAGGAGAGAGAGAGAGAGAGGAGAGAGAGAGAGAGGTGAGAGAGAGAGAGAGAGAGGGAGAGAGAGAGAGAGAGAGAGAGGAGAGAGAGAGAGAGAGAGAGAGAGAGAGAGGAGAGAGAGAGAGAGAGAGAGAGAATCCCTTCCTTACTCTCTATGCATTTTTATACTATATCCACATGTTTGTGCATGGTTGCACACATGCGTGAGCGTTGGGTGTATCTATATCCCAAACACATCAGAATACCTCGCTCTGTCTGCTTCTGCTGACTTGGACGATCGCAAGCCTTACCTGTGTACTGCTGAAGCGCTGAGTACGAGCCGAGTGAGTCCAGCCCCGATCCGGCGCCGAGGCCGTTCAGTGACGTTACTGATCCGGCCCCGAGTCCCAGTGACGTCACCGGCAGAGAGGAGACCGGACTGGACTGTCCCAACGTGCCTGAAGTGTCAGGCACAGGCTAGCTCAGGCGGGAGCAGCGCAGGGTCCCCCCATCACGGCGTGGGTGATGACGTCAGGCGAGCAAGGGGTCCGGGAGGAGGCAGGCACTTGAGTGTTGATTACGTTCGGAGTTAGGGCATCCCGCTAACATGTCACCGACTAAACTTCAGCAATAGTGAGAGGCATACTTTTCTAAACACATGCAGCTTTTGTTAAAGCAAGTTACTAACCTTCGGGTTAGAGCAGCATGCATTTAGCTGTGTCAATTCCTCATTTTTTTTTTAGGGGCACGGGAACCGCTTTCCAGCTGCGTACTATGTGAAGCTTTTGAGCGGGTCCAAGTGCACAAGGCATTCCCGCAGTATTATAGTATTTCAAGGAATTAACACGATTTCCGTTTTTTTAGTGGCATTCATTGGTGAAATACAAATTTGCAGCAATAGAAATCGAACCGAAACTGTTACCGGAGCTCTAGTTGAACACAAGTGTAGACAAGTCTGACACAAATGGAATTACCACTAAAACTATTGTCCACGTGCATGGCGTTGCTTATCGATCACAGGCCTTCTGTTACATTGTACATCTTGATTGATATTACACGGTACGCTATTGACTACAGCATCAAATCAAAACAATACAATAGGTCGTAGATTTTGCCATATTTTCGCAAACACGCCCTTTTTTAAATGAGTATAGTTGTCGAAATTTGCATAGTTTGGAGTTCTTATGGCAAAATACTAATCAGTAAGCTTTAGCTCACCTAAAAAGTTCTGCCGAAACATGGATACTTTTATGGCTTGTCGTATACGATTCGAACTTGAGACTGAAATGGGCGGCGCAACGGCTAATGGTGTTACTGTTTGCACAATGCTTCCTCGCTAGTCCTCCTCAGCTGTCAATAGTCCTTCTTGGCTGTTAACAGTCCTCCTCTACACAGTCAACAATTCTCGGTGGTCCAGTGGTTCGATCGTCAGCTTCTAGCCAAGAGATTGCGGCTTAGAAGGTTGAAGCTACCAGGAGTTTTCGAGGCTGATATTGGTTTATGCCAAGTGTCCTCAGGTCGGCCTTCCAGACCAGATACCAACGGTCATGACCGGGGAGGTCGGCCCTCCAGACCAGATACCAGCGACCATGGCCGGAGAGGCCGGCCTTCAAGACCAGATACCAGCGACCATGGCCGGAGGGGTCGGCTTTCCAGACCAGATACCAGCGACCATGGCCGCAGAACCACGCTGCTGAAGCACTGTGTAAACAAGAACGTCCTTGACAGGGGCAATAGTACAAAAAATTCGATCTCTCCAGAACGTGTTAATCCAGATCTTATGGCGTTTCAAACATTGCGCGTAGTAAACTCCAATAAAAATAAGTAGGGACAACCAGACGCCTCGTAATTACCAACTCAACGCGGAGAACAGTCGCATGAACCGCATACTTCTACGAAGCGAGGCAACCACGTCGGCGTTTCGAAATGTCATGGTTGTTTTCAGCCCCTCCCACTGATGCACTAGACAGCAAAGCTCAGCGATGTCCCATACCAAGCGGCGTCACCACACAAAGCAATGGCAGGCCTCCTCGTTCTACCTACCACAGGACAGGCCGTGGATGCCTAAACTGTTAGAGTTCATAGCAGCCAGAGAAGCCAGGTTGACCGTAGTCAAATCTACAAACGAAGAACACGTGAGGTCAGGCGACAGAGCACCAGAGGTCACGCACATACACGCGCACGCAAACACACACGCACACAAAGGTCGGTGCATTGACGGGGTCAAAGGCCGGGTAACACGAGTTACGAAACGAGTTGTTCCAGCATGCACCAGAAAGCGTCCTCAAAATGAGCATATGCCAGTCAATGGACACGAAAACATTGCTGATGATTTACAAAAGGTCATGCCAAACAGGTATACGAAGATATTGCTCAACAGGAGGCACGTGAAGCAGCTGACCGACAAACACAACACCGCTCAGAGTGTGACTGGTGGTATTATAAAGATTTACGATGCGACGATTAACACAAACGACAAGTCAGGTGGACAGGTCGTTAACTCCAGAGTGTCAAATTGTCGTATAAATGGAATGTGCAGTAGTAATAGCTGCTAAATATTAATTTAGAAAAGAAATTAACTGACACAACCGCACCATAATGATAACCAAACGTCAGTCTCCACCGCGAGGTCCAAATCGCGCGAGTACTGACCAAAGGGAGACCAACCACAGCACACACACACACGGCGCAGGAAGCACTGCATCCACTTGCAAAACAAAACACGCCAGTCCAGGACAGACAAGCCTGGACGGTCCTGCCCGGAGCCAGGGATCGTGCAGCCCAAGCGGGGGGCGGGAGGGGCGGGAGGAGGGGCGGCGGGCACTCACTGGGCGCCGTGCCCTGCAGGCTGCTGATCAGTGACTGCAGACCTGAGCTGGACAGGTCGGGTGTCGAGCCGCCGTTGGCATGACCTAGGGTCACGCCCGAGCCCGTGTGGTGCAACCCGGTCAGCCCCTGAAGACCTGCAGCGAACGACGAAGGTTGGAAAGCTTCAGCGCAACACACAGTTAATCACAAACAGAGGATCTCCGTAGATCATTAGGGGGCGGGAGAAGGGGGGGGGGGCGGACAGACAGTGAACGCCATCGCGACATCCGCCTGGCCCACCGCCGCTATAAAAATTCAAACACAAACAGTTTTGGCAGGTGATATTTAGAACGACTACATACTTCGTCCGCGGTGTATTTGGAGGTGTGTTTGTGCAAACAAGCGCACTTGCCTCGTAAACGACAACAATCAACATGCAGATGGGTTCTTTCCAACGAGCATGCCCCCGATAACGGCGCATTTTATGCTGGCATGGTGACAGCGACCCTGTCGTGAGAAGGTGATCACTGGCGCCGGAGGGCGGCCGGGCTTCGTAAAATCAACACCAGGTGGCCCACAAACTAGCACGACCGCGCACCGGGCCGCCGCCGCCCGAACGGCCGGAGCCGCCGCCCCGCCCGCCAGAGCCACCCTCTCGACTGCAGGCACCGGCCCAGCAGCCCACCACTGTCCTGGACTGACGCTGCCGTTGCACACGTCGTTCGTACTGAATTGGTCGCCGCGCTCGCTGCCAAGTGGCTGCTCTGGGGAGGGATGAAGGCGGCCTCGGTCGGCGGCACCTGCCGGGCGAGAGCCAGAGCCGTCCGTCCTCAGGGGACGCCACGAGTGCCCGCCGACAGCCGTGCCGCGTGACACGTGTAGCACGTGGCAGCGGCGGCGGCGGCCTCGTTTGTCTTGGCTCTATTGACGGCGCTGTCTCGGCGGCAGCACAGGTGCTGTTGTTACCACAGTAAATGGCCCGCGGGGACCGCGGGAACGCCGGCGGACACGCCACACCCGTCCAAACGGGCGACATCACAAGAGGAGGGTGTCAAGCTGAGAGCGGACACGACAGCGCCGACGCACCGACGCACCCGGCACGGAGCGACGGCGAAGCGGTTGCGCGACGTCGGCCGACGAATTGCAACAGGTGGTGAGTTGTTTACGAGCGAGGCCACCTGTCCAGAGCGCAGTGCCGATGTGTTCACCGGGAGGTGAAATGGAACCTTCCGAAGGCGCCAGGCGCATCAGTCAGTTCGTGTTTAAGTAGCAGTCGCCCAAAAGGCGTCAACGGCAGCCATTCAGATAGCTTATTCAGCCACTACGCCTCAGTCAGATGGTGTGTCAGCCGACCGAGTGGCGCCCGTAGCTCACGGTGACACGCGATGGCACTGACAGCCCGCGGCGGCGTCACTGTCAGGACGGCGATGGTGTAATCCAGCTGATCCGGCACACAATACTCTGGCCTGTCCATTGTACGCTCCAAACGGCACTATCGGCGCGTCCGGCCCCGTTTAACATTCCGGGCGGCATTTTCTGGGCCGGTCCGCCCGGCGCCAGCTGTTGAATGAGAGGGCGGGCAGTGAGTCCCGAGAGGGCCATGGAACGGAAGCACAGGGAACGTAGCTGGGTGCAGGATGCTGGGGGTGCTAGGCAAGGTGTGTTTGCCATGGCCCCAAACATGAGCCAGGGGGGACATGCCGTTAGAAACGCGAGACGGAATAGGTGATGGACGGAGCATTGTCAGGTGGGAGAGAGAGGCTTTATGAAGCAGGAACTGTGGTTTTAACAAACATAAACCATCACATGATGGCAGTTGTTGTCCGGAACCATGCATCATTTGGCCCTTTCCGATATCCTGGCAGCTTGAGAGTTATTTGTTTTGGAGATAATTCCGGCACTGGATGATTACAGGGGGAGTGGCGCAAAAGTGAACGTTGACGGAAATGATGAAATAGACCATCGAGCACAAACTGCTGATATCCTCAGTTCAACTCTTGCCGACTGCGTGCCTCTACAATCATCCAATTCTGGGACTCTAACGAGAATCTGCGATGTTAATCACAAGTAGCCAACAACTGAAACTAGCCAAATGTGCCCGCCGCGCGGCCCGCCCCGTCCCCGCCCATCACGTGCCAGCCTGTGCCGTGACGTACCGTGGCCGTTCTGGAGGCCGGAGGAGAGCAGAGGTGATGAGGACAGGCCGCCCAGACCGCCCATCGGCGGCAGCGTCAGGCTGCTGCCCGCATTCAGCTGCTGCAGGAGCTGGAACGGTCGGCGGTCACCTGTCAGAGGACGGTGGGGCGCGCCACCGGCGGGACATTTGGCCAGCACCGGGGCCAGCACACACGCCCCCGCCAACTGCCGCTCGTTAATAAGCCCGCCCGGCAGCCGCGGGCCGGCACGTAAATCGCACCCCGGGCGGCGGCGGAGGCGCGGGCGCGACAAGGGCCCGCTATTTATACCGATCGCATGAAGTGCGCGTGTTGGCGCAGCCCCGCCCCGCCGGCCGCGCCCCCTGCAGTCCCCAACAGAGGCCCCGCCCTGCCGGCCACGCCCCCTGCCCTCAGCAGGAGCCCCGCCCGCCGGCCACGCCCCCAGCCCCCAGCAGGGTTACCGAGGGCTTCTCTTGAAACAGCGGCGGTGGTGGCGGCCGGCGGGAGGGCGGCTCCTATACCCGACGGTGGGTGCGGGTGGGATTAGGCAGGGAACACGGAAGAATGCTGGGCGCGGTGGAGCGATGTGTTCGTGCAATTGGATTCCTAAGCCTACGAAATGGAGAGCGCGGTGCCCAGCAGGCGTTCATGAGGAGACGGTGTCTATCTGTTAGGCCGACAGCTGGGCCATTCCCCATTAACCCGGCTTAGCCGAGCAGCGCCACCACCTGGTGCACTTAACAAAACAGCACAGCTGCGCTGACGGTGAGGGGCCACTCGGTCCGCGAAATGGAGACAAATGGCATGGCCGGCACGGCACAGGGCTGATCCCCGCCGCGGGTCAATGGGTCATTAGTGCTGTTCTTGGCCGATGGTCGCGCCTCAGAAATTTGGGAGGATTTGATTGGGTTGCAAAGAGAAAAGTATCGAGCTTGATTTCAAGAGCCCTTGTCTTCTTTGCGTTAAAACTAAGTCCATCCTCCGTCGTTCATCACACAATTCGCAGAACACATTCGGGACGTGCATCCGTCTTTTTCACATCAGCATTCCAGCGCATCGCAAGACAATCCTCCACTTGGCGTTCTTGGATGGGTGGTAACTCGCTCGCTCCACACTAGTTCTTTAGCATGGGACGCGGCACGGCGTTCCTCATGACAGCATTGCTGTCGTGGTGACTGTAAAAGGGTGAACATTTCATCGCTGACGCCCGCGACCGTCAACCAGTGACCGCTCACGGTCACCGTGTCTCGTGGTAACCGTCAGCCAGTGACGGCCGCGGTCACCGTGTCTCGCGGTAACCGTCAGCCAGTGACCGCCCGCGGCCACCATGTCTCGCGGTGACCGTGGGACCGCCCGCGGTCACCGTGTCTGGCGGAGGCGGACTGCGAGGCGCTGCGCCAGCCCAAACACCGGCTCGCCAATCATAAGTTGGCCGCATTGTCTGCCGTTCATCAGTCGGGCAAATAAACTGCTCTCACGCCTCCGGGCCGGATGTAAACAGAGCGCAGGTGGGACGGCTCGCGACCGGCGGCCCCCGGCTGCGTCGCCCCGGGCCGTGTTTACGCCCCACCCGGCAATATGCAGCCTGTTTATTTTCGGGACACGATTATCACGTCGCATGAAATCGGACGGTGCCGGAGGGCGCAGCCGGCGAGAGTGGGCGGGAGAGAGGTCATGACAATTCACCTGTTAACCACGTGCCGGTCGCGCATAACGGAGGAGGCGCCGACGTCTCATTAGGGGGCTCACATGAATGATGGGCACTTTGTCGGCGCGTGCACCCCCTGCCGGCCGACAGGTGCGCCGGCCGCGCAGCGTGTCCAGAGCTGACAGCGTGGCCCCGTGCCGGGCAGGCGCCTATTTTCGGCGCCCGGGGGCGGCCCGCGACCGCGGCGCGTCGGCGACAATGATGGCGCGGCTCGGCGCCGAGGCCCGACAGGTGATTAAGAGGCGGGACGAACACGAGACGCCTGGCGCGCCCACCATTTCGGGACATGGTGGCCGGAGATGAGACGTGGGGGTGCTGTTCGGCCTCGCAGGCAGGGGAGTGAGATTTCAGTGGTGTCCGGCGCCGAGATGGGAAGACAATTTACTGTTCCGCGCGGTAAGCTTGGTCTCAGACCTGCCATGTTTTACTGTTCGTCTGCGCGTGGGGCTACATATGAATGATTGATGACTCCGCAGCGTGCATACGGTACGGGCCCACGCGACACATTGTTGCATATGGTCCTTGACCTTGCAGCTTGCCTTACGTTCACGCCCATCATTCGCAGCGCTTCTGAGAGATCACGAGAAGCTCCCTCCTGAGCCGCGTTTCATCCCGGCGGGCTCCGTACCTCCGTCCGTGTCACAAACTGCGGCACACGGTTGATTCATACATTCCTTTGCGCATGCCGCGACCCATCCGGCCGTGCTGCACGCGTGTCTGTCGAAATCGGACTGCACCATGCAGCGATGATCTTACTTTGCTGTCATCCCTCACAGTCTGTTCTTCTGCGTGCCACGTGCAGTAGGCTGGATCCCGTGTTCGGTGCTCTCTTGTTTATCCCTTCTATGCCGTGCATGTGTCTCGGGATTCCAACAGTCCATCCCGGAACATCCCTCGCGAGTTTTGCCCCCTCTTTGCCATGCGTGTCTCCGGGATTCCAACAGTCCATCCCGGCGCGTCCCTCGCTAGCTTTGCAATCTGTCAGACTACCCCGTCCCACGCCAGCACTGCAATCTTTCCCCCCAAATTATCCGTCCGTCCCGCTACCTGTCACGTCATCTGCGAGGCCCGCAGTCTTTTCCAGAACATTCCTCGCGAGTCCCATCAGTCTCTCCCACCGCCTCCCTGGCGGGTCATCAGTCTCTCCCACCGTGTTCCTGGGGAGCCATCAGTCTCCCATCGCGACCCTGGCGTGTCATCGGTCTCTCCCACCGCCTCCCTGGCGAGTCATCAGTCTCTCCCACCGCGACCCTGGCGATCATCGGTCTCTCTCACCGCCTCCCTGGCGAGTCATCAGTCTCTCCCAACGCGACCCTGGCGATCATCGGTCTCTCCCACCGCCTCCCTGGCGAGTCACCAGTCTCTCCCACCGTGTCCCTGGGGAGTCATCAGTCTCTCCCATCGGGACCCTAGCGAGTCTTCAGTCTCTCCCACCGCCTCCCTGGCGAGTCCCGACAGTTTCCCTCACTGCCTCCCTAGCGAGTCCCGTAGTCCATTCCGCCGCGCGTCGGAGGGGCGCCGCAGTCTGTGTGCCGCCGGTGACGGCCGGCGGCGGCAGATTAGCGGCCGCGCGCCGCTGATCGCCGCGTCACCGGAAGACGGATGGCGCCCCGATTAGTTTGGCATCGGGAGACCGTCGGGCCGGCCGAGCGGCGCCGCCGGCTGGCAGCCGCAGGGGCGGGGCCCGGCCGGGCCGCCGGCCGACCGCCCAGCGCGGCGCGAACCGCCGGGTCGGCTGCCGCTGACGTGCGCCGGCGGCAGCGGCTGGCGCTGACACGCTCGGCGCCGGCGCCAGGGCCTAGCCGCGCGTCGGAGATGGGTCCTGGCCCAATTTCCACGACTGGTCGATTGAATGTGAGTTAACTAATGGCCGGTTATCACGACAAATGAGCTAGGCCCGCCGATCTGACATCTCTCTTCCGTTCATCACTGAGTTATAGTGGTAAGACACACTGTACAGGGTTGACGCCACTGGCACCAGAAGTGTCTATGACGGACCACTCGTGAGCCCAAAGCGCCAAGCTCTCCTGACCGGGCTCGTTCATCAAACTCTTGAGATCGCTGCCACCCCGTGAGCTAGCCAAAAGCATCAGCCTTTGAAATCTCTGGTCAAGGCTCTGCCCATTTGTCTTACGAACGTTTAACGGACGAAGGATGCACGGTTGTCAAGTGGCGTTCTTCTGAGCGCTGTTTCGAAGGTCGATAACGACGAGAGCGACCACAGATTAACCCAGGGTCACGCATCGAGTGCAGGACGGTATAATGGCTTGGCATGGACGATGTCAGGGCTATCGGTTAGTAAAAGGACAGATGACTCGCTCATGCCCTTTAAAGGCACGAACACACAGCACAACTTCGACGCCACGCGCACTCATTAACTCCCGCCGACCGGCCGGGGTGAGCATCGCGACCCGACCGGCCGGGGTGAGCATCCCGACCCGACCCGTCGGGGTGAGCATCTCGACCCGACCGGCCGGGGTGAGCATCCCAACCCGACCGGCCGGGGTGAGCATCCCGACCCGACCGGCCGGGGTGAGCATCCCGACCCAGCGCTCGGCGATGGCGTTCACTCACGGCCAGGTACTGCGGGTTCAGAGTCGGCGCGCTGACGCCGGATGAGCCCCAAAGGTTGGTGGCCAGGCCCTGTATCCTCTTGGCGTCCTTCTCCTTCTGCGTGTCGGCGAACTTGACCACCAGCGGCGCCGAGCAGCCCTGCGGGCACGTACAGGACGGAGTGGTGACGTCACACGCCAGGCGGACATGATCACATGCGGCCAGAGCTGCTGAGGGCTGCCACGAGACGGGGTGACCGTGAGCAGCCCGGCTGCACCGGTGGAACTTGGCGAATTGGTGGACTGCCCTAGCCGACGGGTTTATGCCGTCCGCTGGCCTGCCGAGAACGACAGGTGGCGTCGGACGATCTGTTAGAATGCGCGGCTGTCCCAGCGAGTGAGGAGCGTACCTCGTAGGTGTGAGCCGAATCGGCAATATTCAGTAGGCCTACGCCCTGGCTTCGGGACACCGAGAGCAGCATCGCAACACAAGAGCGGGGGGGGGGGCTGCGCAGGCTGGCCCAGGCCGTCTCGAGGGCGTGTGGGAGCGATTGATACAGATTGACAGAAACTGACATAACAGGGCTTCTGACAGAGTATTATTATTGGCATGGCGTCAGCATCTACGCCATCCTCCAAAGGGCAGCCCATCCACACGCCGAACGGCCATCGCTGAGCCGGTTTCTGCCGACTGACGACAGATGGCAGCACCAGCCGGACGTCCGCGCCGGCGGCAAGCCGGTAGACACATCGGCCCGTGCTCCCTGTTCGGCAGGGAGTGGCCACGCCTCATCCGCCGCCGCCGCCGCCGCCGCCCCGGTCACAACCGTGAAATGGACACACGACTGGGCAGGATGCCACCACTGGGCCATTGTCGAACATTGGAAAGCATGACCGGCCGACAAAGGGAACAAGAATCGAGTGTAAACCGTCAACACCGAGGGCGGTCACATCAACAATGTTGACCTGGTATAACATATGTTGTTTTCAAAGTGATACGGTCCGCCCAATGCAACAAACACTTCCTGTGCGAGCTCATGAAATCTCGTAAACATCTGTTTGCTTTCACAGATATCAATACAGAATGAGCTGATTGTTTTGAGAGGATGTTTATGTGTCTGAGCTGTCTCGCCACCTTTATTAATGAAGTTGAATATATATAATAAATTCATGCAGTTTAAATGATCGTTTGTCTTGCTTGACCAATACAGGCTCGCAAAAACAACTTCCTATTCACGTCGAACGACACTATGTTTCACAGCAGCTCATTGGGTCACTAAACTGAAAATAACTGAATGGTATTTCAGAGACGATCTCCAGCTGCGGTACGTCACGAACGACTATAGCAACGGACGGTGTCTGCACGCATCAACTCGATGCGACCACCGGCTGTCGTAACTAAAACTCCCAAGGATTCAGCACATGCCTCAACTTTGCGGCGGCAGTGCCGACTTAAGGACCGGTTCTCGACATTTTTAAGCCGGGATGGCCTTCAGTTCAGCCGCGCGCCAGAGGACATGTCACCGCGGCTGAATCTCATTTCCATCAGAGGTGCATCTGGAAACGTTGCAGCGTTTCCTGAGTGCGCTTCGGATGTGGAATACTGATGATGGGAACGCACCTCTGGTGTTTTGAAAAATGTACCTCGTTCACGTCTACGCAAAATCAACCGGTTGTAGGTTCAAAAATGGACATCAAACGTGAGCGTATACACATTTGCAGACCCGCTGTTGCTCGCTCATTTGACGGTGACGTGCACGACAAATGATTGCGTTTAAGTTCACCTGGTGTCTAATGGTTTCAAACAGAAGTTCATACCTGTTCGAAGCAAAATCACAAACAAATTCTTCCAAGTAAACATTAACGTTTCGCTTCCCATCCAGGGAAGAAACACAAGGTTCTTCGAGACAAAACCGTACACATGATACCTGAAATTCCGTTGATCCATACCACATCATGTTCTTTTGCTAATCATCATTCCAATCTCTTAAATTCCTTGCCGAGCCCAAATGGCTAGCAGGCTGAGACGGCTTAGCGATTTGAGCTGCCGAATAAGGACACCGCACATCGGAGCTCATCTGTCTGAATACTGGCCAGGCAAGGGGGCACACGCACAGCAACCGCTTCCCGCACCAGGGCCTCCCCCCCCCCCCCCCAGCGCGGCGGCAATGCCGCCCGGGCCAGGGCCGCGGCCCCGGCACTGGCTGTGACTCCCCTGTGACCCGCCGGGACCTCCCGCCCTTCCGCCAGGGCCTCGCTCCCAGCGCGTCGGCGCCGGAACGTCGCCACCGGGACCCCGGCCCCGGGGCGGCTCCCCCTGTGACGTCACGTGCTCAGCTCACCTCCATTGTTTGCGCCTGGTGCATGCCCTTGATGGCCGCGATGGCGTACTGGCGGGAGGCGAACGTGACGAAGGCGCAGCCTGCGGATCAGGAACGTTCAGTAGGAGAGCACGGCCTGCTCAACAATCAATCAGCCTCTGTTTTTCTTCGGGCAAAACCTTAATACTGCACTTATTCAAGAGGTTTGTATTCCAGGTCTCCTCCAGGCTCGTATTTGCCAGCTTTGGCTCACATGTGCTCGCAGGGAGGACAAACATCATTTCCAAGCGCGAGAACAGAAGTACGATGATTGCATCTCAAAGAAACAAAACTGTGACGCCTATCCAACTCGGTACCAACAACCCACGGAATCGTGTTGCTGCAAGTACGGGCGCCCACCGAAGGAAGCACACCGCACTTCGCGTGCCGTCCATGCGCCGTCACTCTCGCCAAAACGTGCCGCCCAATAATGGCGCGCGGCCTGCATAACTCGGGCCGTGCCGGACGCGCAGCAGCCGCAAGGGGGCGTGCGGTAACGGCCAGTTTCGCAGACCGGTCACCAGGCTCTGCGGCGGCGGCCGGGGCTCTGAGGACCGATCGCCTGACCCCGCGACGGCGGCGGCGGCGGCATTGAGGACCGGTCACCTGAACTCGCGGCGGCGGCGACGGCCGCTCTGAGGACCGGTCACCTGACCGCGCGGGCTCTCCCGCCCTGCAGACCGCAGCGCGCGCCGCACCGCGGCGTGCCAGACCTCGGCCCGGTCACAATAACACGCCAGCTCTGACCGCCGAGCGGGCGGGATCTCCGCCAGTGACCGCGGCCAACTGGTCTCCCTGCCCGTCCTGGTGTCCCGAGCGGTGTCGGCACGGTCCCCAGCGTGCTCTCCCCGGCGCACATCCGCCGTTTTGCGGCAATTACAATGGCGCGCCGTCGGCCACCAGATAGCGAACCGGTAACGCCGGTTTGGCGGCGTCACCAGCCGAGCGAGTGACCGGATTCCCGCCAAATACGCCGAGCCCGGCCCGCCGGAGGACGCTGGCCCCGTCTGCCGAGGAGAGACGCGGCCGGGGGAGGGGAACGCAAGGCGCTGCCCCGGCGCGACGGAGGAACAGTCCCGCTTGGGGCAGGCGTCATGCCAGGTGAGGGAAGTGAAGTCGGGGGAGGACTGTTCTGTCAGGAGATTAATTCCATGTGCGGAGTTGATTCATGCCTCATATACCATTCCCAGGCATGCCTATGGAGGAGTTACCTGCGCCTTGAGTTCACAATCAAGCAACGGGAGGCATAACCAGTCTAGGTCTCTGGCAACTGTCCTCTGGTGTAAAAAGAAACGTTGTGAACTTTTCTATCGAACCAATGGCACCGTCAGACAGGGGCAGACCGTCAAACGGGAGCGGACCGTCAGACTGGGGCGGATCATCAGACGGGGGCGGACCGTCAGACAGGGGCGGATCATCAGACAGGGGCGGACCGTCGGACAGGGGCAGACCATCGGGGGCAGACCATCAAACGGGGACGGGACGTCAGACTGGGGCGGATCATCAGACGGGGGCGGACCGTCGGACAGGGGCAGACCATCGGGGGCAGACCATCAAACGGGGACGGGACGTCAGACTGGGGCGGATCATCAGACGGGGGCGGACCGTCTGACGGGGCGGACCATCAAACGGAGGCTGACCGTCAGACGGGGGCTGATCATCAGACGGGGCGGACCGTCGGACAAGGGCGGACCATCAGACGCGGCGGACTGTCGGACGGGAACGGACCGTCAGACGGGGACGGACCGTCAGACGGGGACGGATCTTCAGACGGGGGCAGACCATCAAACGGGGCGGACCGTCAGAGGGGGCGGATCATCAGACGGGGGAGGGGGGGGGACCGTCACCGCCGGCCCGGCTGACGACGCGTCAACAGTGGCCGCCAGACGCTCACGACACGACAGTACACCGGCCACTGGAGTGACGCGCGCCGGACCCCGAGCGACCCCGCGCCAGCCGACCCTGTGCCACGCGGCTCCGTGTCACCGACCGGGCAGCGTGAATCGGCACCAGCACAGCGGCAGGACTGGACAAGTCCACGGACAGGATCGGACACAAACACAGGGACACGAACGGGGACGGACACGGAGCTGGACCTGAGCCAACACACATGTCCGGAGGGATGTGAGACACGGAGACCGGAGAGGGCCGGATGGGACACGGCATGAGACCGAACAGAAACAAGCCCCCACGCATACGAACAGGCCGGACAGGGACCGTATAAGAATGACCAGGAACATGGTACACGGGTAGGGGACAGACAAATATCGCGGATGTCTCGTTCACCGTTTTCCCGCTGGAATTCATGAAAAACCTCGGCTTGTCTTCCACAAACGGTTTTCTTTCAAGGATCAGGTCATTAGCTAAGGAGTTAAGCTATTTGAAGCCAATGGAAATATACGGTGTTCTACTGCGTCCAGCTTATGCTTCTAAGCATCGCAGCCCACGTCATATTTTCGAGATAAACTTAGGGATCCTTCCATCTACCAAGCGGAGGCAAATGCCCACATGCAATTTGGACTCCGCGGTAAAACACTGCGCATTAGTAACATAGAAGCACAACTTTCCAGCGGTATACTGCCGTCCAAGAAAATGTCACTGCGGTGCACTGTTTCTCCCGCCATCCCATTCACCTATTCTATAACCATGATAGTAAAAACGGAGGGACCGAGTCAGCCACTGGGCCGATTCGGCACGCTGGCAATCACATAATTGCATCGTAGTAAGAGCGTTGAGAGGCGTCCAGATGGCCGTGTCCCGCACGATGATGCAGCCCGGACAACCGTGTCCCGCGCGCCGACGCAGCCAAGACGGCCGTGTCCCGCGCACCGGCACAGTCGGGACGACCGTGTCCCGCGCGCCGGGGCAGTCAGGACAGCCGTGTCCCGCGCGCCGGGGCAGTCGGGACGACCGTGTCCCGCGCGCCGGGGCAGTCGGGACGACCGTGTCCCGCGCGCCGGGGCAGCCGGGACGGATCGTAGGGCAGCGCCAGCCCCGCGTCCGCCGGCGGGGATCCGATTCCGGGTCAGCACGCCCGGCGGAATATTGATCAGGCTCGAGATTCCTCCGACATGCGGAACGCCGACTGAATTTTCCTTAAGACGTTGGGAATTCCAGCCACACGGCTGACCAGGTACGGGCATATTCAGCCCAGCAGCACAGCACTGAACTAACCACCCGCTGTTATCGGTGTATGATGCTCCCGTTAGCACGCTCACCGAGACCTCCGAACACGCTCCCCTGGCCAAGCGGCAAGCTCTAAACTTACTCGCCAAATATGCATGGCCCGCGGGCACCAATAACACATCAGGCGCAAGTCACAACACCGTAAATTATGCATGATTAGCGCGTGAGGCGGCCGCACTTCATTACCCGCCGGCTCAAAACAGCTGGGGGCGCGAGGCTGCGCCGTGCGTCAAGATAACCCGACGCCGTCAGCGGAGGCTGCACATCACCTTTGCTGTGACCGTTCTGGTCCCGCAGGACGGTGCACTCCTCGATCTGGCCGTACGACTGGAACATGGTCCGCACGTCGTTCTCATTGCATTTCTTGCTCAGCATGCCGACGAACAGCTTCCGCTCTGCAATGAGAGGTGCAGAGGTGTCAGTGTTGACTGCAGCGAACGGCGAGCTGGTAAGGATAGGGGATACAAAGAGATGTGCAGTGGTGTCAGTGCTGACTGGAGCGAGCAGCCGGCTGGTACGGATAGGGGATACAAAGAGATGTGCAGTGGTGTCAGTGTTGACTGGAGCGAGCAGTCGGCTGGTACGGATAGGGGATACAAAGAGACGTGCAGTGGTGTCAGTGTTGACTGCAGCGAGCAGTCGGCTGGTACGGATAGGGGATACAAAGAGATGTGCAGTGGTGTCAGTGCTGACTGGAGCGAGCAGCCGGCTGGTACGGCACAGACCCAATACGTTTTTCTGGATTGATTTTCACGTCATATATGTCTTATTGTACACACACAAACACACAGACTATATATATATATATATATATATATATATATATATATATATATATATATGTACATTACGGTGCATTTTATAATTTACTTACAATCTACGAATTCGGTTCAAGCTTCGTAACTTTGTAAACATATATGCATAGAAATATGTAATATTGCATTTCATTGCATACACTATAATGTAAATAGATTGCTGGCTGTGTCAAGAACAGATGATGCTTTAATCCAGGGTGATATGGCAGCACTGGACGCAAGTCTTGGGGAGGGATTTGCGTCGCACGGAGCGACATGGTAATAACGGCTATAATCGTTATAGCCGTAATCGTTAGCCGAGCGACATCGTTATAACGATTATTGTTAGACGTTTGCGTTGGCTTTTATTTTCATCAGTAAGTGCACCGTGACCAAATGATATGTACATTAAAAAAGCACACAGTAACAAAAGTACCGTGTGAGAAACTGCTTTACCGATCGGCATGGTCAGAATACCAGTGACTCGAAGCCCGTGCCAACGAATTTGTTACAGTACCGTACGCCTATGGCCTGAATGAAAAGCACTTGGAATTTTACCAAGAACTGGCCCGACGTGCACAGAGGCAACGCAAACATAGTCATGACACATTTGGCACCACATACCAATGGCGGAATTTGCACGATACATATCGATAAAACACAGCTGTCTGTTTTCACGGTGCTCGGTCAGGTGCGGAGTTGCATTACCATAATGGAGCACGGAGCGCCATTAGTGGCACGCCATGGGCCAGGTGACACTTTCCTGAAGAGTGTTACTGATAGCGATACGTCGAGCCCAATGCAAAATGCCTCACGATGGCAGACAGGATTTGAGGGGTTCGCGAGATATGTTTCCGATGACCGCCTGCGCCCGCCATGCTCCGATGATCGCTTGCGCCCGCCATGCTCCGATGATCGCTTGCGCCCGCCATGCTGATGTTGACAAAAATGATCTGCATGCATCCTCCACTGTATGTCGTTCAGTGGCAATGGCTTTTCTCCATCATAGTAGTGGACCATCAGCAAGAAACAGGAAATAAGGAGCAAACGAAGAGCACGGATACTCGCGCCTGGCATCCAGGTAAAGTGCGCGTCAGACCAGGAGAGCCCACTTTAGAGCACACTTATCACCATGTGTATTAGGACATCACGCATAAACAAAACAACGTTGGTATCACTGACTCAAGTGTAGAAGTCGTTTGACAAGTGACGTTCAGCTCTGCATAGTCATACGCACTGCATTGCCGATGCCTGCGTATCGCTATAATTGTGGATTCTTAAACAGATAAACGCTTTTTAACAGGTCCGTCCGCCAACAATTTTTCATGGTTCACTGAAACTGTATCGGCTGTTAAGCGTTACCTTATGACGTCTAATGACCTTATGGCGTCTAAAACACGGATGTTAACTTTTAGTGTTACTCCCACGACATCTTAAAAATAGAGACGCCACAGTCGGATCCCATATTTCAACAATTACCAACAGAAAGAAAGTGGTCTCACTGGAAAAAATAGACAGGCAGGATCTGTGAAATTGATTTAAAAAATGACTCAATATAAAGTCAACGGGCAGAACCAGTCTCCCACACCATGACTTGCAAAGTAACCGCCATATCTGTCTGTCGGAGCGAAGTGGATCAGTTGGATGTCTACTTGATGCGATTTCTGTGGCCGCGACGGGCTAGAGGCCGTTTCAGGAAGCATGTCTTGCCGTCCGGTTGTGGAGTACTGAACGGAACGCCAGACAGAAACAAGAGACGTTTTTTCCTGACTGGCTGGAGGACAGTCCGGCGGTGCGATGGGTTTAGCAGTCTCAGACGGCTGTGCAGACCCCAGCGGACGCCCCGGCGCGGTGCGGCGAGGCCTGTGCGCTGCGTGGGTGTATCACGTGCCGAGCAGTCTTACAGTCGCATTAGCTAATTAGCCGGCTGTCAGATTGTACGGCAGTCACCGGCCGGGCGACCAGTGCCATCGAGCCGCTGGCTGCCGCGCACATGGCGACTGCGCCCCACGCGGGGTTGTGCCGCGCGCGGCGGGACGCTCCAGCGCCTCAGGTACTGCCGCACGCGACGGGACGCTCCAGCCCTTCAGGTACACTGACGGGACGCTCCAGTGCCTCAGGTACACTGACGGGACACTGCAGCCCCTCAGGTACACTGAACTTCAGACAGGCCAAGCGGCACCACGGCCCGCTTCCGTTTCTGTTCGGCACTCATCTCGCAATGTTTGAATGAAAATGATTCATGGCCCGAGTTCCGATTTCAATTAAACCTAACATGTTTACTGGATGAATACAGCATTTGTCTGGTTATCACGTTCCCCTGTTTTGTGGCATAAAAGAGGCGGAAGTTTCCGCATTGTTGTCGGCGATAAAGTTCAGCAAAATGGGCCGTTTCCTCCTATTATGTCAAGCAGCCAAGCGAATCAAGTGCATACCGCATTGTTAACGAGCCATTGACCACAGCGACACGAGTCTCTGACGCCACCTGTGGCAAGCACGTGAAACCCTATCCACTTGTAGTAAAGGCGGGTCATCCAACCAAGAAGTCCAGCTCTTCTCTCGTAGTGCGGGTTACCCACACGACAACGGGCACGGTGGCAATGCGTTGTGAGCTGCGGACCACCGAGACCGCGCTGGCTGTGAGGCGTTACCACCGAGTAAGCACACGCCCGCTGCGGAATAGCCGTGGGTGGCGAAGGCGCCGTCTCGACCGCACGGGCCGGCTGACTGATGGCGGACGCGATAGGAGACCCACCCCGTCAACACGGCCGCTATGTTGTTGGCGTGCGGTAAAAACAGGGGCCGCCGCGGCCGGCGGCGGTCGCGCGTCACGGCCTGCGTCCGCGCCGCGCCGCGCCGCACCGCGACGTGACGTGACGTGACGTGTCTCTCCTTGGCCCGTGGGGCACCCCGGACGCCGCCGGCGCTCCGCTCGGGGCGTGAGCGCACGCCGCGTCCGCGGCGGCCCAGCGGCACGGCCGGACGGAGTACGGAGGAGCGCGGGCGCGACCAGGCCGGCCGGTACGGCGGACGGGCCTCCGTTGATCCCCGGCAGCCGGCCGTCAGCGGCGACGCGTGACGTCACGCAGCCCTAACCGACGCGTGACGTCACGGTCTGCCCGACGCGGCGGCCACGTCACGCCGGCCGGCCGAATGCCGTCCAGCGTCGGCGCCTGGAGGCCGCCCTGCCGCCGCCGGGGCGCAGCGGCACCTCTGGGAAGCCGCCGCTCTCGGCGGTGGACCCGCCGCCTCGGTCAGGTGGGGCGTCGGCGGGCGGGCCGGGCTGGGCCGCGCGGGGTGGTGTTTGCGCGAGAAGGACTTCACAGCCGGAGGCGGTGGTGATGGCGGCGGCGCCTCGACAAACAGGTCTGGAATCTGGCGGCCGGCGCACGGGTCGGCCGAGGTGTTGGGCGCCGCAGCTAGCCCCCGGAGGAGGCGGCGCACACCGGCCCGGGGAAGGCAACGCACGGCGTCCCTGGGAGGCGGCACACAGAGGCCGCCTTGTCTCGGCCGACTTGGCAGCGGGGAAAGCGAGGCGAATGCCTCACGTCGGGGAGACTGGAAGTCCGGTTCCTCGATAATTATCTATTTTTGCTGCCTCAGAAACATCGGCAACCTGTTTACGGGGAATCTCCTATCCATCAGTAACAACGACCTCAGCTCCATGTCCGAAGGTGAGAGCTTCCAAATCGCGGTTATAAGGTAGATATTCGTGCAGCGATAATATTCTTTTTTTTTTGTTTTCCAACCTTTACACGGGTGGCTGCCTGACATCGTTAGCCTTGCCAATCATTCAAACAGGTATGAACAGGCACGAACAAGAGGTCTGTTGTCACGGTCCACACAAAAGCGCACAGTGCGTGGCATTTGCACACAGCTCACATGATAAGCTGAATGCAGAAACAGCGACACTTTGCCCAACCCAGTTAAAAGTGCATGATCTTGCGCATGCTTAAGCAATGGTGATAACAGCATCCACTCATCGTTGAATATAACGCATAGGCCCTCGACTATTAGGCATCGCACCCGCTTTTTATGATCACTCCGCAAGACATTCTAAAAACTGATAATTGTGGTGTAGGTTTGTGTCCATCAAAGTCGTCAATCAAAAACATCCGCCGCGCCTATCAAGCGTCAACGATGTATTTAGATGCAACGTCATCGAGCCGCGTCAGCCGCCTCGCGCCTCTCGTTACCTTGCTTCGAGTAGACTTGGTACGGCGAGAAGCCGATGGGAGATTTGAGATGGTACGGCACCACCTTCTTGGCCTTCATGGCGACTGGAGCCGGCTCGACGGACATGTCTGCGACGCGCTGGTCGCTCGGCGTCTCCCGTCCACCGGCCGTCGCTCAGCGGCGCCCCTCACGCTCCGCTCGGCGGCGGCCCGGTCCGTCCGGCAGCGGCGGCGGCTCGGCACGACTGCCGCCCGCTCCAGCGCCGGGGCCGCTCTGGGAGCGCACCGGCCGGCCACCGCGTCACGCGCGCACCTGGCCCGCCGTCCCGTCCGCCGCCCGCCGCCCGCCGCTCTAGTCGGCGCGCCAGAAAAACGGCGCGCTCGGCCGACGGCAGGACGTGACTGCGAGCACGACTCGCACCGCCGCCGCCGCCGCCACCGCCGTCTGCCAGCTCCCGGCACCGAGCGGCGCCGATCGGCAGCAAAAATTGGCGCCTGACCAGACTCCGCGGCGGCCGGGGGTCAGCAAGCCGTGACCTCACAGGGCGGCCGCGGGTCAGTATGACGGAATCTCGCAGGGCGGCCAGGGTCAGTATGGTGGCCGGGGGTCAGTATGACGTGAGTTCACAGGGCGGCCGGGGCCAGCATGATGGGACCTCGCAGGGCGGCCGGGGTCAGTGTGACGGGACCTCGCAGGGCGGCGGCAGCGGGTAGGGTCAGACCAGATGTCGACCGACGGTCAGCGTGGTCAGAACTCGCGGCAGCCGATGTTCAGGATAGACCAAGCATCGCAGTACGTCAGCTGGATCCGAACGCGCAGCGGCGGATCCAGCGGCAGGCCAAAAAGTTCGCCGATCAAAGCCCATGAGCTACAACCGAACGCTGTGATCAATGAAGCACCTGTGCACTCCCACGTTGGTAAGACTCGCGGGCGGGCCAGCATCCGTCCCCATCCCTGCCGCGCAATTTCAGTTCGCGAAAGTCATGTCCAACCGATGAAAATCCTTCTCTGCTGTCGGATGGTATTTTTAGTTTCGGCTCCGCCACCCACGTTTCCGGACGTGGCGGTACAAGATGTCTGTTTATTTTATGCACCACTTTTAATGAGCACGATCGAGCGGTGACGTCACGTGCCGCCGGCGTCGCCGCCGAGTGCGCGCAGGGGAGGGGTGATGACAACGGCGCGCTGCGGCGATTTACGGCGGCGGAGAGCGCGGCCGGCGGTGATGGCGAGAGCGTGCCGAGCGAGCGAGCCGACCATTAGCGGAGTGGCAGCGACAGGTGGCCACTCGCCGCCACCGGGGCACGTCAGCAGCATCATCAGGCGACGGCGAGCGGCCGCCGACACCGGCACTCAACAACACCCCGACCCGAACACTGCCGATCAAGGCGCTTCCAGGTGCAATGACTTCGCACGCACCATTCGCAGCGGGCAAAAAAGGTGGGTCGGCGGCGTCGACGCGACTGTGGCTGGCAAAACAAGAGCGACGGCTAAAAATGGCACCGAAAAACGACCACAACAGGGCGCTGCCGACTGCGGTGGAGAGGCGGAGGAGGTACGCGCCGTGACGTGCTGGCCGGACGTGACTGGGAGGGCGGAGGCTGGGGCGGACCGCCGACCCCGGTGCTAGTGTTTTGGGAGCACACAGCGCGTCTCCGGTGCAAGGACCCGGCGGTGCACAGGCGGCAGGAGAACACAGAGAACAAGGATATGGGACTTAGGCTGAGGACAGATCACACGGACCAAAGTTAGTGGACACGAAGAGATCAGGGGATACAGAAGAGGTAGGACGACATGGGCCTTGATACAGGTCGGCCAGAGGTCACGGATACAGAAGAGGCCGGATGACATGGGCCCTGATACAGGTCGGCCAGAGGTCACGGATCCATACAGAGGACGGAGAAAGAGCTCATAGAGTATGCACCAGGGGCAGAAAGCAAAACCGAAGACCACGAACCACGAACCGATGGCGGGCGACATGAACCGCGGTCGGAGGGCACAGGCCGAGGTTATTGTGCAGGGACCGGGGTCAGGTCGGATGTGGCCGAAACGACACTCCACGGGCCGGGATCAGAGTACAGGGACCGAGCAATAGATGCCGTTTTCTGAAAGTTCTTGTCTAAGGTCCAGTCCAAAGTCCAAGGACAGACCAGCTGCTCGTCCAAAAGGTGTCCAAAAGGTGCGCAAAAAATCAGATTGCATAAAAATGTTCAGACTTTTTAAAAATATTGAATAACTGCAACATCACAACTGAAAATTTAACCACAACAAATAACCCCAGTCACTACTCGCTTCGTCGCATTCCCTCATTCCAATCGAATGAAAAGAAAAAATGATCGTAGGCAAATGCTCGGTACCGAAGGCTTCTGTGAAAACATCCGCCATTCATAATGTACATCCATGTCCGCTAAGCTTGATTGCCCCTAACCTCGATAACGGCAGTTTAGTAGGATGGTGAGTGGTAACGTAGCAAAGTATGTAACGAGTACTACAGGCTCTCCTGAAGACATTAACATTGGTTTCATTTCCATCCATGCCCTTTCGGATATAAAACTTTTTTATCATCTTTAAAAAGTAATGCCTTCTAGTGTGATCCTTGAACAACTTCTTTAATGTTACATAATCGAATTATGTTTAAAATGAGCGGCATTAAATCACTTGAGCTGCATGCCAATTTGTGACGTCATATAATGATATCGACCGCCCAAAAATTTCAACGATATCCCATTAGTCCAATTTCCAAATTGGAGTACGGAAATTTTGATATTTCAAAAATATGGAATGCAATCGGCACCTCTACACCGATCTTAAAGTACGCGGACTGAGATTAAGACAAGTTGACCGATATCAGGAGTCTGAGGGTGAATGAAAACAGGAGATGAATCGAATAAGGTCGCGGATAAATCAAACGCCGGCAATACAATGACAGTAACATAACACGGCTATGACGTATTGCGCGACAGAACGTGAGTGAAGACAACAGAAAACCGCGGATACAATGCAAGATAGGCCGAAGAGGTGAAAACGAATGCCACTTTTTTGAGAACAGGTGTGCCATGACGCGAACCACAGTTGACTACTAAACGGACAGTTCCGGAGATTATGTAACAGAAGCGCGAGGCGAAGCCCACACAAATTTTTAAAATTTGGTCATGTTCAAAGAAACAAACCGGACATAAAAACAAAACATGGCTGGTGGTTGACATTTTCAAATAACAGGCGAATCGTTAATCAAAAGGCCGTCAAACCATTGATAGCGGAAGTAAAACAACTCACACCAGTTTCGATGTTCCGGCTATGATGCAAACTCTTTTATGATTCCTGTTCGCAACATCCCGCAATTTCGGGGCTCTGGAACCCCCCCCCCCCCCTTCAGCAGCCCCCGCATCTGATGGCCGCCACCGCACCCTGTTTATGTACTGGCAGTACCGCAGAACCACTGACAAAAATAGACCGACGGCCGTCACCGCTTCTATTCGCGGACCTCTGCAAAGAACCAACGGAGAAGTCCCGCGGGATCCGCCCACACCCCGGCAGCACCTCGGCGACCGACAGATGTCCTGTTCAACACGACGCGAACAAGCACACTGCCCAAACAATCAATCACAATCGAGACCAAACGAGCCGCGCGCTGTTGTGTCGCGGCGCGGCGCCGCCGGGCCGGCCGCGGGCCGCCGGCGCCGGCGCCGAAGGCCTCCAGGTGCGCGGCGGGGTGAGCGGCCGCAGACCGGCCAGTCACGGCCGCGCGCCGCCCGCGCCGCGACCGGCACCGCGCCACGAACGTCGCCGCGAAACGGACACCGCGCCGCGCCGACACCGGAGCCGGCGGCGGCCGAAACCGAGCCGGCGGCCGCGACAGGTGCCATGCCCGCACCGTCACGCGGCCTCGGTCGCACGGCAGGGGGCAGGTACCGTGCTGGACCGTCACACGAGTCTCAGTCATGTCTGGGTTTGGGTGACAAGTGCCGTGCCGGACCGTCACGCCGTTTCGGCGATGCCGGTCTGAGCGGTGACAGGCGCCGGGCTGGGACCGCCACCAACGCCAGCCGTGCGGCACCGTTTCGTCGCTGCCGACCGTCCGGCGGCAAAAACGTACACCGGTCACGTCGCGCCGCGTGCTCTATCACAAACGGCGACGGGCTTCAAGAGTCCGGGGTGGGTGGCAGCTACCACACAGGGGCTCTTCAGCTTAGGCCTCTCCAGCTCAGGCTCAGGCTCCATGCAGCTGCGGAGTCAGTGCGCGGCTCCTGTGTTGCTGGGGCGGCCGCCGGCGGCGGTGGCAGTGTTACAGCGGTCGCGCCACACCGCCCCGTCCGCTGGCGCCGCCGCTACCCCGTCACGCGGCGGCGGCGGCGGCGCCGCTGACTGGCGGGACCGCGCCGCCCACAGGTGTCGGTCGGGCGGCCCCTCCCGTCCCGTCAGGAAGCAGCACCACGGACCGCTGGCGCTCCATAGCCGGCAAACGGCGCCGTTTACAGCGTGATTGGTGGCGTCGAGTGCGGCGGCGGGCGGGGTTCGCACCGCCCGGCGCGTGCCCGTTGTTCCCGACGCCGCGAGGGGGGACGCGTGGCGAGAGAGGGCGCTGCCGGACCGGCGCCGCGGGGGTCAGACGGATCCGAGCTGGAGGGGCCGCCGCCTTGTATGCGGTTTGGTTGCACCGGTGTGCCAGGATTGGAGCGGAGCGTTTTTACCTCGGCCACCATTACGTCAAAAGCGGGAACAACTGTTGGATAATGGACATGGAAATAACGATGTCAGCCACGGGTTATCAACACGACCAATGTAACATTTATTGTAAGTCGTACGGTGTGTGGATTTTCTCGCCACCGACCCTGGGTAAATTCCACTTGCTTCCATCACCGGTGTGCCTATGTAGCGAGCGCATGTAACGCGACTACATCCAGCACTAGTGCGTGGTAATTTTTAGTTGAGTGGATACAACTGTGCCTGTTTATTGGGTTGCTATGTCAGTGTGTGCGGTTGCGAAACGTTTTTAGTATACATGTGGCACTCCTGGGTTCAAAAGTCAAGAATCTAAATAAATCAGTCTAGCTGTGGGGTTCAGAAACGTTTTCAGGTGAATGTGTCAGTGTCGGTGAAATGGAAGGAACCATGCATGTGCTCGTCGCGGACTTTCCACCCTAAGTGGTTGTACACTGCAAAGCATGCGTGATGTTTTGCTTTTCGAACAAGCACTACGACACTGCACCACCAGCTAACGTAGTCAAA